AAAGAACACTAACAAAATAATAAAAAATTCGGCACCAAAATGACTTATATGGTTAAAAATGAATGTGATAGTGACGGATTTGGATAGAGGAGGAGAGGGGGAAAAGATTGACATAAATTTTTGGATGAATGGGGGTCGCCGGAAAACTTCACCGGAAATTTTTTTGACGGAATTTTGACATAAAATTTATATCAAAAGATAGCCCTTAAATAATTCTACACATTTATGTAAATGGTATAGAATGGGGATGACCGGAACTTCATAAATCTAATGAAAAAAATGAAGATTTGTGTTTGATTTTTCTTAGATCTACGGAGTTTGGCTATGGATAAGAATGAATGGTTTGCAGATTTGTGTAGAGGAGGGTGAAAGGAAGTAATGGTAAAAAATTTGGAGATTTTTCCGGCCAAGGGGTGATGACTGCCGGCGGCAGTGGCGGCGGTGGCGGTGGCCGATCGGCGGTGATGGTGGTAGGTGGAAGCAAGGGGAGAAGAAAATAAAATCAAAATAAAGCCAAAATTCTGATTTTTGAAGTTTTGTATTTTTTGGTAGGGTCCCATAAGAGCCCTTGGATCAAAATGTTTTGAATGGTTGAGATTCAATCTTGACAATTGCTTTTGGACCGTGTCTAAAATGGATTGGGCTATCAGAATTGGGTCTAAATCAGCCCAATTCAATCAAAATTAGGTCATTTGGGCAAATAAAAAAAATAGAAACAAAGACCAAAATATAAAAAACAAAATATAAGAAAAGACCTAACTATATATTGTAGGAGTAAATTAAACACATCAAAAATTAGGTGTTCACAATGATGATGATGAAATAGAGCCAGTTACGGCTACTAGTCCCACTCTCAATCCCGCTCCCGCTCACATTCGTTGTCCTGCTCCCATTTCCCCGTACATCCTAGTCAGGCTAGGCCCAAGGTAGAACATGCTAAAAAATTAGTTATGTGGCAATTTATGACTCAGAGTGAAGATAAAACACAAGCTATTCGTAATAAATGTTAACATAGAATGAATCATAAAACTGTGAGAAAATAGGGTGGGACAGTCGGACATGACATTTGAGTAATCATTTAATGAGATGTTGTAAAAATAAATTTTTGCATGTTAAAGTTGTAGCCGAAGCTAAAAAGAATGGTACCACCCTTCCTAATATATTTGTAGGAGTAGGGGACTCTAATATGATCCAAACACAATTAAACCCTTCTAATGTTTCTGGCCTAATACACAACACTCATATAGTAGAGAAAAAGATCTTGAAGAATTAGCTATTATGATTGTTGTTATTGCCTTGCCTTTTAGTTTTGCTGAAAATCTTGATTTTATTCATTATATTCAAATTGAGTATAATTCACGTTTTAAAGGTTTTAAAAGAAACACAATTAAAAAGGCTATTTTGGATTATCAAGGTCAACATTTTCATTATCTTCGTTGTTTATTTCATTATAATACTTGTAAATTGACTATTACTTCTAATATAGGTCGTAGTGTCAATATTGTTACTGCCCATTGGATCGATGAAAATTGGATTATGCAAAAAAGATGGTTATAAATGTTGTGAAATGCATAAAACCGGTAGTTCCATAGCTCAAACAATTGTAGATGTTTTACAAAACTATGAAATTTGTGATAAAGTAATTAGTGTCACCCTAGATAATGCTTCTAATAATACATATGTTGTTCAAATACTAAAATCGACTCTTTGCCATGTTTATATTGATGGTTTCATATTAGGTGTGCTGCACACATATAATTTGATTGTTAGAGATGGTATAACAATGTATAATAATAGTTGCATAAAATGTGAAACTGCATGTCATTTTAATTTTAAATGTCAAGTAAAGTCTAGACGTAGAGAATTTGAAAATCATTATCGTGAATTTAATCCTCCCCCTAGAAAAATTTCAAAATCGGTGTGTACTAGGTGGAAATCTTTATTTGAAATTCTTCAAGTCGCTTATGAATATAGAAAACCTTACAAATGGTTTTGAATGCTCATAATTCAAATATGGACTATAGACTTAATGAAAATGATTGGAATGATATAAAAGAACTTATAGAATTTTTAAAAGTTTTTTATTTAGCTACAAAACAAATTTTTGGACTTCATTATTCAACTATTTGCTCTGTTTTACCAAATATTTGTGCTATTTCTAGTAAATTTTATAAATTCAAAAATAAACCAAGATTTGAAGATTCTGTTAAGAAAAAAGATTGAAAAATTTTAAAAATATTTTTTTTCCTATTCCTCAAATTTATTTAACTTCTTATTTTTTAAACCCAACTTACAAAGATTTAGGTGCATCACGAAGAGTTGAAAAAATATATTTAAATTGAGATACTCAAGATTTTGAAACACCTAATTGACAACAATTAAAGATAGTATAAAAATTGAAGCAAGAAAATTGTATGACTTATATAATTCTCATAGAAAAAATGTAGTACGTAATGAAGAACCTGAAACTTCTAGGTGTAGATATAATGAAGATAATATTGATGATATGCTAGAAACTTATCTTGAACTTTCTCATGAGAATAAAAATGATTTTGATGCATATATTAATCAGTGTACGGAAACTATTAAGGATTCACAAGGTTTACCTGATCTTCTAGATTGGTGGAGCAATCGCGGCAAGAGATTTTCAAAACTTTAACCGTAGCTCGGGATGTGTTAGATATTCAAGCATCTTCGATAGCTTTGAAATGCGTTTTTAGTGCAACAAGATTTCACATTGGAGAGCATAAATATTCATTAGCAGCAAACAACTTGGAGATATCGATATTATTTAAAGATTGAATTAATGGCGAGAGAAGGAGTTATGGGTGTCCAACTTTACCTACCCAATTTGAAAATGATATTGATGAGATGTTTCAAGATTTTAGTGACGACGCATTGATGCATTGGAGGAACTAGCCGATTAACCAATTCCAAATCATGTTACTAGAGAAATGTTAAATGATTTAAGACAATACTGGCTTGGTACCATGAACTATTAGTATGATAATTCGAGGTCTAATTCAAACAAAACCCTTCCTAGAAGATGGTTGTGTAGATTAGGTCTTCTACTAATATTTTGTAACTCAAATTGTACTAGTTATTTTTTTTTAATAAAACTATAGGCTTTTCATCTTAATTTTTTTATATTATTGTCTCAATTTTAATACACAGTTTTTTTTTAATTATATTTTCAATTTTCAAATGACAAAGTTGAAACTTAAGTTATAATTTGTAATTTAAAAAATAAAAAAAATTTAAACTTTTAAAGTTTAAAATATAAACTTTTAAACTTTTAAACTTTAAAAGATTGAAATTTAAAGTTTAAACTTTTAAAGTTTGAAATTTAAACTTTTAAACTTTTAAAGATTGAAATTTAAACTTTAAACCTTTAGAGTTTCAAACTTTATGATGTAAAGTTTAAAAATTGAATTTTAAAAAGCAATATTTCATAATTTATTTCTTTTAAATTAGACTTTTAAAAGAAATATTTCCTAATTTTTTAATTTTAATAAATTTTTTTTTTTAAAAAAAAGAGTCGTTATCCCGGTTTATCGGTCCGGTCGGATCCCAGTGCTGTACCGATCCGGGACGATACAACGTATAAATTCCAGAACTATCGATACCGGTCCAATCTCGATTCCGACCCTTTTCCGCTTGGTGGACACCGATTTCGGTTGGTGTTGGTCCGATAGTTCCGTTACCAGTTCCGCTGACAGCCCTACCTACTTGCCACTTGTTGAAACTAACAATATTGTTTTTTTGCTTATTTTTACCACCTTTTACTTCTTTTTTTTTAAATACAAAATATTAATGAGAGTTGAATCATGTTTTAGGACTTAAGTAGTTTAATGGGCCAAGGCCCAAATTATTAGGTTATTACATTCGCCCAAACAGTGACAAAGTTCAAATATTTTAGGTCTTGTTCGCTTCATGAAATACTTAGCGTTTTTAGCAATAGAACACATTTATAGTATTTTTTCCGCCGCTGAATAGAACAGGAGGTTAAGAGTTTTTACCCTATTGAAGAAATGCTATCTCTTATGGCCTCTTTATGTTCTTGATTTTTTTTTTATGAAATCTAAATTTTAATAATGATTTGGTGTTATAGAGAGCATTTAATATGCGTGAATTACATCCATAAATGCTTAGGAGTAACTCACTTTGATGGTTATTTAATACTCTATTTTAGGAATCTCTTTGAAAGTTTCTAGAACAAATGAATTTTTGATCATTTCCTATATCCAAGAATGATTATTTACATATCCATTAAAAGTATTCATTCTTGTGAATCGCAACATCAACACTCAACATTTTTCAAAATTCTGTTTCACCAAGGTGCGATGAAGACCGTCACCCTAAGTAGTGTGCGACTCCCAGTCCTTCTGGCGTGGCACACAACTTTGTGTCAAATCGTAAGTATTATTTCTATTGCTCTTCTTCTTAGACTCACTTGGATGAAGATTAAGATATCTAAATGTATATAAAAATTTAAATGATTAAGATGTTGCTTTTAGGTTTGAACAATAAATGATTAAGATTTTTTTTTTAATATTTGAATGTGCATAATTTACTTATTTTTAACATAATAGATATACAATTAAAAGTAGTTTAATAGTAGAGAGAATATATAAATTTAATATGATAGATCACTATTTGATTAACAAGAAATTAAATAGTTTCTACTATTATTGTTAGTGAATCTTTATTATATGTTTTTGAAAGTTTTTAATCACATATATTTGTTTATAATATGTGATTTATCAATGCGACTCCTTATAATATTTCAATATATTCTATACAAATTATTATTTCCTCAAAATTGTATAAGAATTAGAGAAATTTTGATAGTTTTACAATATGTGAAATTTTCATATTTATGTTTTTTTTTTACATAAATAAGGATAAGAATTTATGGCTATTTGTGAAATAGAAAGGTTTAGGGCCCATATAATAAGGTTAAAAGGCTCTTGTGAATCGGTATCGCCGCTATTTAAATTGGATTTTCTAGGGCTTTTTCTATTTTCCCAATAAAATGAAGATAAAGCTTAGCCTCAGCTCAGCTCCCAATTCTCTCTTCTTCGTCGTCTCTATCCAAAATGTACGTGGGCAGCTCAGTTTTTGGTGTTTCTAGCTGTTTTACTCCAATCTCTTGCTGATTTGAGGTAACTATCGTTTGACCCGTCTTGTGATTTTTTTAATTTTTTTTTTCTGTTCAAGATTGTGTTTTTTCGATACCTTTAAGGATTTGAATTGGGATGACACGTTGGGTTTCTTGATTTTTGATTTTCTCATCTGGGTTTGGTAGGTCAAGGTGAACTTCTGATTGTGGAGGTTTAATTTGACATTTTTTTTTTGGGTGGGGAGGGGGAAATTGGGGGTTTTGCAGTTTTGGTAGTTCTGTTTATCAAATTCGATTTTAGTTCTGCTCATATAGTTAAAAGATTTATACCCTTTTGTCTATTTGTATGTTTCTCTTTGCCCTGCAAGTGCTGTTACTGATTTATCTGACCCTTGATATGTTTTATCTATGTAAGTTTTTTTTGCCCTGCAAGTGCTGTTTCTGAATTGTGGTAGCTATAGCATCTTGGATATCCTTGAAAGATTAGGAACTAGGGTTTCGGTTAGAGATGTTTTGAGGATTATGGGTTGGGTATGCAAAGGTCTTGTTTCTGGAACTGGATGTGTTTGTCTTGAAAGCTTATGACTTGTCTTTAGGAGTTCTTTATTAGTTGTGTGCAAAGTTGGGTTTCTTTTGGGTATATGCAAAGGTCTTGTTTCTGGGACTAGATGTGTTTGTCTTGAAAGCTTCTTTATAAGTTGTATGGAAAGTTGGGGTTTTATTGGAATGATTTTACTTTAGATGTATTCTTTGGTATGTCTGTCTCCTACTTATGGGGATTATCAGCTATCTTTGCTCATTTTGGATGTTTAGATTGACAGCAGTCCTTGCAAAGTGCTGCATGAATTCCTTATTTAAGTAACTTTTGATTTTTAAGAACATTCAAATGTTAAATAATAAAATAAGTAGAGAAATGTGTGTGTAACTCTCAGATGGAGCTGTCATAGTGGAATGTGAATAATTCATTGGTATGCTAGGTTGCTGTTATAGAACATTAAGCCTTTCAAATTCTAGAACCTTGAACATTTTTCCTGTTTAGGTGGGGCTTTACCACTTAAAGGTTGTATAATTACTGCTGCAGTTTACCACTTTAGGGTTGTAAAATTGCTGCTACTGATTTTTTTACATCTTTTCTTTCTGCAACATGAATTATCTAGTCTTTCTACAAGAATTAATTTGAGATTCTTATCTTCTTCTTTCCAACTGATGCTCTTTTAACTTATGGACTTTACTTCGTCTGGAACTCACTGTTGTGTCCTTTGAGAATGTTTGGCTAACATTGGATATGCTTGTGATGTATTTTAACATAGGATTTAGTGAACCCCCCGGGCATGCTAAATGCTCTAGTTCTTAGAAGTCATGGGGTGCTGCTGTCTTCTCAAATATGAATACTAGTTTATTAGGAAAAAGATGGTTTTTGTATATATGGAGTAGTAGTTCACTTCAATTTGTGGACACCAAGTGGTTTGGTACCTCGTATGGATGACAGTAGCAGCATATACATATCTAGTACATATATTTTGACATTATTAATCTAATATTGCGCAGTGCGCCTGGTGCGAATGTCTTTCTTTTTTGTCTGAGAGGCACACACCCTTAGCTTAATTGCTTATATGTCATCTGTGCCAAGCTGTGTATATTATTGTTATGGTGTTTGTCTAATTTTGAAGCTGTGGTTGTTGGGGTGTCAATCTTTTCTAAATACGTGAATCAGATTTCTATTTCCTCTTTTGAGGGGTTTTCCTTCAGGTTTTTCTTTTTTCATGGTTTTGATATGTGGGGCTTCCTTTCCTTTCAAAAAGGGATTCATTATTTCCCTTGCTGCTTCTCTGTATGCATAGATCTTCTTGTTCTATTGAATAAATCAGATCTGGTGGAAGAAGATGGTGTAAATAACATTGTGTCTTTATTTTAACGTGCAGGGTCCTCTGTCCACCATTTTGACCTTGTATGCACTCTTGTGTTATTTTGTCATGTCCAGCGATCTTGTTTCTCAGCAATTTTCAGGACCACCTGATGGTCAGCTCATTCAAATGGATCATGTTTCCAATAATCCCGACTCTATAGCACATATGCAGACAAGTATCGTTGGACACGTGCCAAATATTTCTGCATCACAGCAGCTTGTTTGGTCAAATGAGCCTACAGCCAACAGATTTGATACTTCACTTCCTGTGAATCAGTTGGGGCCAATGGGACCCAGAATGAACCCTCAGCACTTCATGTTGTCACATCAGCAGACCAGAGGAGATAGATATGTGCCAAATAGTCCAGGTGTGCAGAAATCATCAGTACTCACCAAGCGGAAGGCTGAGATGTCATCAATGCCGCATGGTTCTACACCTCAGGTGTCATCAATGCCAAATAAGCGGACTGCACAGGGAACTTTTTTGTCTGCATCTCCAGGTTTTGTGCAGCAATCTTCTGCTATTAAGAAACCTGGACAGCAACAGTCAAAGTTAACTTCCGGAGGTTCAACTAGTCTTCCTGCGTCAAGCAAGAAATTGACCCGAAATGAATCCATATCCAATAGAACTGCCTCCCAGCGGTCGCAGACCCCAAAAGGACGAACAATTCAAGTTGAGCCGACCTCCAAGGCGCAGTCTGAGTCCTCTGATGCCATTAGGTCCAAAATGAGAGAATCACTTGCTTCAGCTCTGGCTATGGCGTGCCAGAATCCAGCTGCCAAGGATCTGAGTGAAGCAGTGGGTTCTCAGCCTTCACAACTGAATGTAACTCCGACAACTGCCAATGAAGGTCTACCTCAAACCTCTGTCTCACATGTACCTCAAAACTCTGGCGATGTACTTCCTTCAACTGGCCCTTTTCCTGTTGATAGAAATAATGACGATCATAGTTCATCTCTTGGGCTTCATGATGACGTGAGCATGGTAAATTCTGTACCTTGCTCTACTGAACTTGAGTTGCATGTGGACGATGTTCCCTTCAGTGACAATTTCTTTGTCAAAGATGAACTCTTGCAAGGGAATGGTCTCACTTGGGCGATGGATCTAGATATGCAGTTAAGAGAAACTGATTTCCTCCAGGATGCTGAAAAGGCCAATTTGTTTGATGAGGATGTGGTTGAAGATAAAGGTGAGCATGCAAAATCATCTCCTGAAGATTTAGCTTTGCACATTGAGGAGGAACTTTTTAAATTGTTTGGAGGCGTGAACAAAAAATATAAAGAGAGGGGCAGGTCTCTTCTCTTCAACCTAAAAGATCGCAGTAATCCTGAACTGAGAGAGAGAGTGATGTCAGGTGAGTTACCTCCAGATAAGTTATGTTCAATGACTGCTGAAGAACTTGCTTCGAAGGAGCTATCTGAGTGGCGGGTGGCAAAAGCCGAGGAACTTGCTCAAATGGTTGTTTTACCTGATAATGCAATTGACATGAGACGTTTGGTTAAGAAAACTCACAAGGGTGAATATCAGGTTGATTTTGAGCGGGATGATAATAATATTGCATCTGAGATATCTGCAGGTTCAAATGTCACACAGTTTATGCCGAAGAAAGATGGGGGGAGAAATTCTGGCCCTTCTGGTAAGGATGAGTTAGGGAGTAAAGAAAATCTTACCAGCCAACGTAATAACTCAGAAAAGCAAGATGTGAAAGATAGCTTGGTAATTCCAGCTGATGGGGCAGATTTGATGCAGGGGATGGTTGTAGAAGAATTCAAGGATGCTGAATTTCTTCCTCCTATTGTTTCCTTAGTTGAATTCATGGAATCACTTGATTCTGAACCTCCTTTCGAAAACCTGCCTGTTGAAAACAATCATTCTGCACCTCTTCCAGACAAAGAAAGTTCCGAGGACCCTAACAATGCTGTGGGTTCTGGTCTAGCCGCTAAATACCCTGTTGTTGCTTCTGAAGACAAATCTCTTGAAGGGGTCAAGAATCATGTAGAGCAAAAGGAGTCTCTGGTGTCTGCAGGAAGCCCTGTAGCTAAGAAAGTAACTAGTTCTGGTGATTTGAGCCCTATCAAGATGACAGGACCACGTGGTAGTGTTTCTAGAGTTCCATGTATCTGGGAGGGGGAACTGCAGCTTACTATTTCATCCTTGGTTACAGTCTTTGGTTCGTTTAGAAGGTATGCCTGTTCCCTAAAATCGCTTACCAGATCCTTTTTTTGAGCAATTACTATATATTAATGTTGCTCTTGTATATTTTAGTGCACTGTAGTCACATTTGAGTGTCTACAGGTCGTTTCTTTCATTCTATTTTTCTCTGAGTTTTAGTACCATGATATTTTTCTCGCTCTTCTTGATAATTGATAGCTCTTGAAAATTCTCTCTGCTAGACGAATGGATTATGACTGCAGTTGCATGTTGTATGCTTTGGATTAGTTTTCCTTTATTTTCTCTGTGTAATGCTTTGCTTTAAATTTCCTGAGTGGATTCTCTATTTCTGGAGTCAATTTCCTTTATTGTTCTGTGTGTATTCCCTTCTAGAACATTTGAATTGCACTTGTTGGTTATAACTTTACAAGTGGTGCTAACAAGACTGGCATTTCTTCTTCTATTATCTTCTGTTTCAGTGGTGAAAAGACACCAACTAACGAGTGGCCAAGCTCTCTTGAGATCAAGGGTAGAGTTCGACTTGATGCATTTGAGAAATTTCTTCAAGAGCTTCCTATGTCACGAAGTCGTGCAGTCATGGTATCTTATGGTTCTCCTTCCTTTGTTGTAGTTGGTCTTTTCTGCCATACTTCAGGTTGCAGATTATTGCAGATAGTGTGTAGGTTTTTATTATTTTTTGATGACTTCCATTGTCGAACCAAGAATGTATATTCCAGCAATTGGGAATATAGTGATATGCAATATATGGTTGCTGAATGGCTTGGGACCATATGTCCTTTCTACTCTTTTAACTTTTTACTGGATGATTTGCCTTTTGGGTCGAGCTGTGGATGGAAATGTCATGAGTTGAATAATTACCTATGTCATGGAAGGCTCTACAGATTTTCTTAACTCCCTCAAATTTAGGCTTTTACAATGCCCAGAGATATCAAACTTTCTATTGTTTTAAGATAAAATCAATGTATCACTCAACTTTACGCAGTATTTAGCTATTTGTAATAAGTATTTAGTCTGCGCTAAGATACAACTTTTCGACTCGTTTGGCTTAGCCATCAATCTTAAACCAAAGTGGATGAATATCTTGATGCAATGATTCTACTTCTGAATGGTCAAGTTCACATAAATTGTAAAATATCTTAGATTATGCTTTACATAAATTGCAAAAAATCTTCAAAACGTTGTGCTAATCATATTCACATATGCAGGTTGTTCAATTTGTTTTGAAGGACAAGTCATCTGAGAGGGAACGGGCAGACCTATCTGAGGTACCAATCTGAGTTTAATTTCCTTTCTTAGCAATTCTTGTTCAGTAAAATTAATTAAGTGTATGATTTGCTTACTGGGTCTTTCGATAATCTTTAATAGGCAGTGCATTCATACGCTTCAGATGAGAGGTTGGGGTTCGCGGAACCTGCTCCAGGAGTGGAACTATATCTGTGTCCACCACACATACTCGATATGATAAGCAAACACCTTTCCAAAGACCCTAAAGAGCTATATGATTCTACAGAAAATGGTCTAATTGGCGTAGTTGTATGGAGAAAACTTCATATAAGTTCAACAATATCACCTAACTCGTCGTCTTCACACCATAAACACAGTTTGAAAAAACAACAGGCGATTCCTAGAGGACAGCATGAAAAAGCTGGAAACGTTAATGTAAATTCAATGCCTAAAGCACCCATGTCCATGTCTGCGAAAAATGATCCTGCAATGGATGATGACGATGATATCCCACCTGGGTTTGGTCCCAAAGCTGGTCGTGACGATGATGATTTGCCTGAGTTTAATTTTTCTGGCAACATAAATGCTTCTAGGCCTAGGCACCCATCTCAAAACATGTACCATGGGTCAAGAATGAACCCATATAACCAAACACCCCCTTCCCGCCCTGTAGACCAAATGAGAGAACTTATACTAAAGTATGGTCAAACTGGTGCTACAAATGTTGGTCCTGGAACTTCATCGTGGAATGACGATGATGATGACATCCCTGAGTGGCGGCCACAAGCCCCTCCACCCTTGCAGCGTCCTCCATACCCTTTAGGCCATAGTTTTCCACAGCCTCTGCAGCCCCCGCAGCACTTGGCTCATCAGAGACCATTGGCAACACCTATGGGTTTGCCTATGCAACCACCAATTAATAATGGTATACCAAACAGGCCACAAATTATGTCACCAAGGGGGCAATATCAAGTTGATTGGAGAAGGGATCAATCAAGGGGTAGGGGGTTCTGAAGTTTTTCATTTTGATAGTTCAGTGGTAGCCATGATGTAAATTCTGAATCTTTGTTGTGTTCGGCTTTTTTTGACTTTTTAGACTAGGTATCTTAGCCTTTATTTTAGATGCTTAAAACTATAGTTTATACTGTACTTCTCCAGCATAAAGGCAAGAGACTGTGATCTCTTCTAGTTGTTTTACTGTCATTTTATCTCATTAAAAACATTATTCTGTTTCTCAAATGTGTTATTTTCGTGGCTTATTATGTTAGCTGGGAAACCCCTTGGAAGTTGGAACCGAAGACTTTTCTTATTAATGACTTACAGTTTGTTTGGCGAAACTTATTTTTCAAAGTGAGATGTTTGATCAGATTTTTTTTTTTTTAGAGAAAATATGTGTTTTTGAGGAGTCGCATAAACTATTTTTTAGAAGCTAAAGAAAGTAACTTTTTTTTTTTTTACAAATGCTTTTTTGAAAACCACTTTTGAGAAAAGTATACTCAAGGAAAATGTTTGGTCAAACACTAATTGTGGCTTAAAAGTGTCTTTTCTTAATATTTATTGTTTAAACTTAAATTGCTTCTTTTGATTTATTTATTTTTCCAAAATAAGTTGATTTTATAAAACTACAAATTCATAATCGTGGTTAAAGATATTGAAAAGTTTATTTTCCTTTTTTCTTCTTTTTGATGTCATGCTCTAGTGTGAATGATCTCATCATCAACTCTCACAAGTATCATCAACAACAACCTTAAAGATGTTGTTTTCGGTGGACCTCACCCATTTAATGCATATAAAAACAATATGAAAATGAAATACAACAGTAAATAAGCCACGATAAAAATAGTGTGAATGATCTCGTAATAGACAACCAACTTTGAAGTAGATGTCATAACGTATATAATTCTCCTATATTTCTCAATATCCTGACATTCTATATCAAGTCAATCAGCACTAAAGGAGAAATATCAATTTACAAAACTTATAATTGACACAACCCCTTTGCTTTCACCTATAACCAATCTTAAAAAAACTATTTTTTTTATCCTTTTACATATGAATGAATGAACAATAATACTCGGTACTTCTAATGAATTTAACACGTTCTCAGCCCCCCAAAGCGCGTTTGAGGGCAGTTCGTTGATCAGTTGTCAATCTTGTAGGGAATTTAACATCAAACTTGATCTTTAAAACACCTCTATTGCCAGGTTCCTTTGTGATTGGCATGCCTTCTTCTGCAAGCACAAGTTCATAACCAGGTTTTACAATTTCATTCACTGGAATCGTCAATGCACGACCATCTAACGTTGTTAGTTTGACAGTTGTTCCTCCCAATGCTTCTGCTAATGTTACTTTATAGTCCCTCATAAGGTCATTACCATCTCTCTTGTAAACGTCATGAGACTTCTCATCTATTACAAATACGAGGTCTGCTGGAAGCTGATTCAACTGCTCGTTTCCTTTGTCTGGAAATGTTATCTTTGTACCTTTTTTCCAGCCAGGTTTTACATCAATAGTTAAAATTTCTGATTCCGTCACTAACCTCCTGCAATAACAACTCTCGTATTATGTCTCAGCAGAGAGCAAGACAGATATTGCAATAAAAGGAAAGTGCTTACCCATTCGTATCGACTACAGTTCTAGATATCTTCATTTTCCTCGTCGATCCAGAATAAAGCTCCTCAAGGCTGCAAGGCAATTTACTCTCAACTGGTGGCGGTTTCTTGGGCATATTAGCTCCAGTTCCATCACTAGCTGGCCTGAAAATATTGTCACTCCCACCAAATCCCGCGAAACCACTTCCTTCTGATGAGAATCTCGTGGACTTAACTCCAGCTGATCCAAATCCGAAGGGACTGCTCCCAAAAAATTCTGCAAAAATGTCCTCAGCGTTTCGAGGATTATTGCTACATCCAGGGGATGGCATCTCTTTTAGTCCTTCTTCACCATACTGATCAAAGACTTGTCTTTTATCAGGATCACTTAAAATCTGAAGAAATGAGTAAAACTTGATAGTAAGAATGGCACTAATATCTTATTCATTCTTCTATACATGATAACGATTCACAATTGGTTAAATGAGTCTATTACACGGATGAGAAAGGTCAGAGAGACAATACACTAAGACATAAACACAATCTATTCTATTTTGTCTTGATAGGTGTAAGGAAAACAATCAATTCTACGATCACTAGAGTTATGAGAAAGCAAGGATTAAAAACCAAGGTCAGATCATCCGATAACAAAGAAAAGAGCTTTCAATTACACAACATTCTTAAAGGATAGTAAAAAAGAAATAACGTTTCGATCCTTCTAGCAGCTTCAGTATCATAGTTTCATAAAGTAAACTTAAAGTAACACATTTTTTTCCTCAAAATTAGCACAAAAAGTTGACGAAGATCAAACCTTCAAAACATTTCCAAAAGAAAAACGTTACACGTAACACCTAAGAAACAACAGAATCAATCAAAAACCACCCTTGTGGTCTTCAAGTTGCACCAAGAATCTATCGAAAATCTTCAAATACTTGACAATAACTCAATTTTTTCTGCATTATGATTATACTTAAACCTTCAAAAGGTTTCTAAAAGAAAAGTCGTTAGGCGTTACACCTAAGTAAAAACAGAATCAATCAAGAACCACCCTTGTGCCCTTCAACTTGCATCAAGAATCTAACCACCAAAGTCTTCAAACACAAAACAATAACTCAAGTTTATCTGCATTACTATGATTATATCTAAACGCGTGATTATGAACATTTCTATATATATGCACATTAAACAAAAGAAAAGGTAAGTGTCACAAACTTCATAAGCCTCTGATATTTCCTTGAATTGAGCCTCAGCTTCCTTCTTGTTGTTTGGATTCTTATCAGGATGCCATTTCATTGCCAATTTTCTATAAGCCTTCTTTAGATCATCCTCCGTCGCTGTCTTCCCAACGTTCAACACGTTATAATAATCCACCCCCATTTTCCTTATACCTAAACCCAATTTCTTCTGATTATTGTGAATATGTACTTCCAATTATCAAAAGTTCAAACAGCTCCTTATCTTTCCCAGCAGTTCAGCAAAAAGGGGTCCTTTAGAAACTGCATTTTCAAGAAAATTACCCAAATCAAAGCATGAAAAACAAGAAAATCCCTAATTTCTAATTTTGCACAAAGAAAAACCAATTCAATATTATCAATATTTCCCAACAAGATCAAGAAAAAACAACATATCCACTGAAATCTCACAAGTGGGGCATGGGGAGGGTAGAATGTACACGGACCTTACCACTACCTCGTGGAGGTAGAGAGGCTATTTCCGAAAGACCACATACCTACATCAAGATGGGCCATAAAAATGAAAATTTCAATTCTTAATTATGTAAAAGATTCAATCTTTTTTGAGAATGGACTAAAAGGGTCTTTTAAATCAAGTTTCAGAACATACCCACATCAAGATTGGCCATAAAAAAAATGAAAATTCCAATTCTTGATTATGTAAAAGATTCAATCTTTTTTTCAAAGTGGAGTAAAAGGGGTCTTTAAAATCAAGTTTTAGCACACCCAAATCAAGATTAGGCATAAAAATATGAAAATTCCAATTCTTGATTATGCAAAAGATTCAATCTTTTTGCAAAGTAGAGTAAATGGGGGGCTTTGAAATCAAGTTTCAACTCATACATATATCAATATTCATAATGAAAATGACAAAATCCTATTTTTTGTTATTAGAAATTTTCAGTTCAAGATTTTCAAATTCGGATCATCCAGTACATACCTTTAACAATATTTCCAAAGAAAATTAGAAGCAAAATTTGAAAAGTTTGTGAAATATATAGAAAGAAATAGAAATTCTTATCATCTTTGATTTTTCATTTTTTATTTCTTTGTTGGAAGTGTTTAACCACAAATGTTGTTTCAGCTTTACTATTTTTCTGACATTTTTAACGATAATAACGGAATCTAATTTTGTTTATAGCTATACGAGAAAAATGTTATTCCAAAATTCTTGGTGTTCTCCTTTCTAACCATACTTCTCTTCTATGGTTGAGATGTCAATTTTATATTCCACCAATTTCACCGGGTTGATTTTTCATATGATTACTTAATAAATATTTATTAACTTTATTATTAATAAATATTTTAAGTTTTAGCCTCTGTTTTGTAGCTCTTTCTCAGTTTCATTCTAGTTTAAGATGGCAAATTATGTATTACCTAACTTTTGATTTGTAATGCTATGCCTATACTTGGTGATTAATAAAAGTTGATGATTACCAATAAAAAAAAAAATTGTGGTTCTGTTTAGTAGGAATAAAAATATGTTTTAGGAAAATAAGTTGTATATAAGTAAGACAAATGTTTTATGAGTTGGGGTGGTGAGGATGGGGGCCACAAGAAGTGGGAGTGATGATGAAGTGTTAGAGGACCATGGAGGTCACAATCCACGTTGAATGTCACTTATGAAATTTGTTATTCCTATATTTATTTGGAAATTCTTTTTTCTCATTTGAAGAAAAAAAAAAATTTCTAGAAAAAATGATTTTAATTTTTTTATACTAGCCAAACATAAAAAAATCAAATTATTTGATGTTGACATGATTGTTATATATTAAAGAATTAAATTATCATATTTTATTATTTATTGATTAAAGAATTAAATTATCATAGTTTATTATTTATTGAGATAATTTATTCAATCTTGATCTCAATCATTTGATTGTCCAACACAACTGGACTCTATCTATGAATCTTATCGAACTTGAAAATTGATTTTTAGAATTTTTTTTTACCATTCAATATCCGAAGTCTATATCGAAGCCCTAAAAATCTATAGAATTGAAATGAGATTTATTAGAGCAAGTTCATGAATCTAGGCATTAAGGAAATAAACATATACCTATTCCACTTGCCTAACCTAATGCGTTCATCTTAGAGCTAATCCCATTAAAAAAATAAAAAAAATAGGGTAGGGATTACAATAATTTGAGTAGGGGAGTTGAATTGAAAATTTCTTGATTATTCTCCTCGTTTTAATTTATGTAACATAATTTTTTTAGTCTATTCCAAAAAGAATGTCTCATTTATATAATTAAAAATAATTTAACTTTAAAAATCTTCTTTTACCATTAATGAAATGAATTAAAGCCAATATAAATATCTAAGATTTACTCCCTCCATCCCTATTTCTATGTCATATCTTTCTATAAATAGTTGGTCCATAATACTTTTCATTTCATAAAATCAATGC